ATGGAAAGAGGTTAGCAGGGCCACTGTGTTTGATTCAGTACATGAGCAATATCTCAGCAAATAGAAAAGATAGGAGGTTCTGATTTTCTATTCTAGCTTATCAATATCAGTAATTTGAGTTCCTAATTTGAACCAGTGCTACATTCAACATACCATGTGACACATAAAAATCAATGTTTAGGTGTGTTTTGTAATATTTACTTTTAAATTAAGAAAACAAATAATGTATAATACTAAAATTTGAATTATAATCTACAGTTTGATACTAAACTTATTGATATAAATTCATAAAATAGCAGTTTGATAAAATTTTGAATGCAAGTCAACAAACGCAATGACATGGCCTTTGACTCGTATGGAATAGGTTAATATTTTCATCAGTTGGCAGAATGAAATATTCACTAAAACCACATACTGGAAACCAAATAATACTAAAAGATATTTAAACTTCCAGTCTTACCATCCACATTCTGTTAAGTGCTTGAACAAAAAAAAGGTAACAATGTCTGTGACAAACACTCCATCACAACTGAATGTCAACACATCATACAGTGTTTTAAACAGAAAGAATACCCCTGTAGTTTCACCACCAAAAGGCTAAAGAACATATAAATCCTAATTTATACAATAGACAAAAAAAACAAGTCCACAAAATTTACCTCCAATATGTGGAGTCTAAATAATAAGATCAAACATATAGCCAAAAACATTCAGCATTTATGTCTACTGGAAATTTTACAGAAAACTCAGATCTGTCCTTGTCAAAACTAAGCAAAGAGCAACTTAAAACAAACAGTACAGTGTACAGTAGGGATAATGTACCCATGTTAGAGTATTTTGATAAAAGATAATAATAAAGAATAAATTGACACATGTAAATGAAAAGTTTTTAGTTTATTTTCATTTAGATATGTCAATTTATACTTTATTATCTTTTATCAAAGTTTTCATTTATGTCTTAGGGGCAGGCTCAAGTTGTTTGATGAGGTATGAGTGAATGCACAATGTTGTGTCAATTGATGATCTTAATAAAGTACATTATGTCGATCAGACATTTAATATACTATTTTAATCATGTTTTGTGACACTAATGTGAGGGATTTTCTTTTTTTTTACTTATGGAAGGACAACCCCTTTTTTATGCAGGACAACCAAAGTCTGGTTAATGGTTGTCCTACAACCATTCAAAATGTCTTAAATATTTTCACTGTATGTGTATATATATATATTAAAACTTAGATTTAGGTCATTTAGTACTTAAAGAAGTATATTAATTTTACTGAACAGACGTTTACATTTCTTAGGTCATTTGCATGGACAGTTAATGTAGTAAATATAATAACAAATCAATAACACTATACTTACTCTACAGCAGGCATTTCACTAGATTTTGGCAAGGACTGAGACAACTGAGGGAAAACATTTTCTTCTGCCTGTTGAAAATAGAACATTTGGAATATTCCAAAAAACAACAAAGCAAATATGTTCCCCTATAGAAAATGTTCATAAAATAATATATTTCTTCCTTTGTACATATCAAAGGAAATAAGTAAAACAAAGCACTTGTTTTTGTTTGTTTTAATTATGCACAAAGCTACACAAGGGCTATCTGTGCTCTGCCCACCACGGGTATCGAAACCCGGTTTCTAGCGTTGTAAGTCTGCAGACATACCGCTGTGCCACTGGGGGGCAAACAAAGCACAACAAAATAATATTTGAGACAATACACAGCTTATATTACTTAAAGATTATATTAAACAATAATAAATAAAGATAAATAACTTGAGATATTTTGTTTCTAATTCAATTTACTATGTAACAATAGCGACAAAACAGAACTTATGTACTACAACAACAGCACATTTCCAGAAGTGATATTTCCATGTTGAAAAATGGAAAATTATTTTATATTATCAAGATATAAAAACAAAACAAAAATATCAGTAACATTAGAAACTACAATATGTTTAATATTTAAAGATGACAGAATGATGTTAAGTGCACATAAGAACAATTTCATTAAAAGGCTTTATAATCTTTATCAAACATGTCAGAAAACTATAAATTTTAGCAATTAACGCAAGTCATCTGTTAGTTTATGTTGCAAGTTTCTTCTTTTGCTTCCATTAAAAACTTTAAGAAACATAAAACCGAAAATCTACACATTTTTTAGTTTTTTAATGCACATCTACCCACTTTCAAGTCGTTATTGATGTGATGGTCTTTCAGTTGCACACAATATTTATCAAGAAAATCCAATTTTCGATACTAAAAACAAAACTAGCTGTTTAAAAAATCCAAGAAAAGTTTTTCATTTTTTTCACTTTTGCTTAAATAGCTGTGTAAAAATCCAAAAGCTTAGTTGTATCATTTATTAAAATTTTAAGTCATAGGAATATAAGGTTGTGTTATATTAGCTACAAATACTTCTGTGTTATGAGCACTGATTGTATTATTTACAAGTAATATAATTTTGATATTTATTTTAAAAAAAGAAAGTTTTTATAAGTTAATAAAAATTTTTTTGTAACATACCTCTCATTTTGAATTTACTTAAGACATGATGACTGGTATCAACTCAGAGAACACTAGCTCTCAGGTCTGTGATAATACAACTGGTATGAAACAAACTTAAGAAACATAATAAAGAAATATGTTTGTTTAAGGAATATTTTTAAGGAACGCTATAATATATTAATTTAATCCAATTTTTTCATTGATGCTATAACTCACTAAGTAGCTATTTCTTCATTTCAGTAAGATCACGCAGCACAATTTTGGTAGGAACTATGACATTCAAAAACAAAATGTTTATATCAATAGCCTATCACAAAATGTTGATCTAAAACCAAGTTGTTTCTCGGCAAAAAAGCCCAAATTGGTGTCATTTTCTTTTTTGATTTATTTAGTTCTATTAAAGTGTTTTGAAAATTAGCTTTAAAAGATACAAAAATTTAATTTTTTGTTTTTTGGTTGCAAAGCAAATCTAGTAATTACTGTATATTAATCTTATTAGCAGATCATAAAAAGAGTGCTTGAAAGTTAGTAGTGGTGATTTTCCTCAATCACTTAAACTTTTTAGTACGAAAACTTTCAATACATCCATCATGTAATAATTTCCCCAATTTTTCATCAAGCCTTTAAGACACATTACTCGTGTGTATTTGTGGTACTTTTCTTGATTTCAATTTATTAAATTTTTCCTTCTTTGGTCACATACAATCAAAGATGAATTTCCCAGAATTAGCTGTCATGTCATTATGGGGATAAAGTGAAATAAAAATATTGTTATGAAAAACTGTTAAGAACATCATTGTTCTATATAATTATCTAAATAAAATATGTTTCATGAAGTTACCTTTTTAGGGTCCAAGTAATTCGAAGCCATTTGCATACTGTCCATTTCATCACCTTCAAAAACACAACTTATTTTTTATTTGGAAGAAAACAATAGTAACATAAGATATACATAAAAATGAAATCTTGAAGACAAAAATTTGAAATAACATTATTATTTTGTTACATGTACTAAAACAATAATAAGATTCATATGAACAAGGTCTGTTATATCAAAATTACCTCATTTCTAAGAGTAAAACATTCAACAATGCTAGTTCACATCTATTGTTCATGTTTTTTACTTATTATTATAGACCAAAAAAAAGTCTTAAAAGTTACTGTGAAAAATGCCCCACTGTAGCAACTGTCTGAAATTTGTAAACTAATATTATTACAGTAACATAAAAATTCAGTATTGGTATTTGTGCAAAATCCTTCTTTCATACTAGTTAAAGACATTTTCAGAAGCAAGTAGGTCAAACATTTTCATGCTACATTCATAACTAGAAAAACTACATAGTTCAGTGAAAATATTTTACAAAACTTAGTTTCAAACCTTTTGATCCTTATTTAACTAAATAAATATTTTTACACACAGAGATACAAAACTCATACTAAGGACAAACTACACATATCAGTACTTTTGAATACTGCTGGTACAATATTCTAATTCTTATTAAACTTTTTATGCTTGCTATATTTTTAGTAAATGCATACATTTTTACACCTGTGTGTTAGAGTATAAATCTCATCATTAAAAAGTTAATGCCCATATCAAACTGGTATTAGTACTACAGTTTATAAGTATGTTCAGTTATGGCTTTCTCACTTAAAACTCATTTTATGATGCTTATACATATCATTATTTGATAAAAAAAACAGCAGACTTTATATCTACAGAAGTCACTGATAAGGAAACTTTCATTCCCTTTAAACAATTCAAGGTAATTTTATCCCACAAAAATGTACTTAGAATTATACACATAGTTTGGTGTTATTCAAACGGAACAGCATAGAGCTGTCCACTGTTATATTACTTTGTCTATATGTAATATTCCACAACTGGACACAAAGGCACACACAACCAAAAGCGATGCCTAAGGCAAATTTATTCTGTTATCAAAGCTGCCTTTCAGACAATTAAAAAATCTTCATATGTAAGTTACACAGGTGAAAAGCTGCCTAGCTCAGAGTGGAGTAGAGAAAGTCTTGCAGGATTAAACTAAAAATGTTGATTATGTAAAAATGACAATGTTGTAAAAGCCTTCCTGAAGACAAAAAAATGGAAGGTTTTCAGAAAGTCATCCCTTCTACCTGAGCTACTTTTGTAGATAAATCCTCCAAGACGACATTCTGAAAACCTGTTATCCGTTCTACTTGAGCTACTTTTGTAGATAAATACTACAAGATGATATTCTGAAAGCCTGTCATCCTTTCTACTTGAGATAGTTTTGTAGATAAATCCTTCAAGATGATATTCTGAAAACTTTCCATTTTTTATCTTAAGGAAGGCTTTCACAACAATAATTTATAAGTAAGCTATTTTTTGGTTTTTCTTTTCAAGTGTCATTCTGAACTAGGAAGTTGCTGCCCATTTCACACATGTTTGTTTACTATCATTAATGTCCATATTTAATTTCTTTTCTATCAAAAACTTTTAAAATTAGAACAAAGATGTACAACTACATGCCTAATTGTAAGGTATATATATCACAGGAGTAAACAGTCTCTAAATATAACTGAATCTACTGATTCAATTCATACATCCATCTCAGGTCTAGAGGATAACTGATCAAAGATCTGAGTCTCTTATGGCTTTCAAGAACCTGGTTAATCCATGCCATGAAAAATAAATGTTGAGCAGCTATTAATAAGAACTCCAAGTGAAACTAAAGAAGAGTGCATAATAATATGTCAATTACACTATATCTGCTACATTCCGATGCCAACAAAGCATTTTCTCAACACCAGGGTTTTTTAGGCCATCTGGGATATGACAGAAATAGTAATAATTGAGACAATATTTATATCAGCAAATTGCTTGACAATAAATTTTTCAGTGTGAACTGGATTAAATTGATGAAATGTAATTTCTTCATCAATTTTATTTACTTCACAGCATATCAGAATTAGGATAATGATTTTAACACTATATTATTCATTCATTTTAACATAAATATTATTAAATATCATTTTCGTTTCCTGCTCATTATTCAAAAGAACTGACATATGAGAAAGCTAGTCTTCTTCACCCCAAAGCTGGTCAAGCACCTGCAGCATAAATGGTAGAAAACTATATTAGTAAGTATTAATTAGTATTTCTCAATGAAAGTAAAGAAGAATGTGTATGTCAATTGCATTATATGTTTCTCACCTAATATCAGGGCTCTTCAAGCCTGCTGGGATACAACTGATACAGTAGTCTTTGAGATGCTATTTATATTAGCAAACTACAGCTTGTCAACACTGTCATGGTGTGTATTAGATTATGCTCAGTTGACTATGTTCCCTGCTAGCAAGAAAGTGCAGATGCCAGGAAGATGATGTACAAATTTTTCATGTTATGTACTATCTGTAATACTGCAAAATTTGAACAAGTCTTTCCAAAGATGAAAGTGTTGAAAACAAGGCTTAGGACAACTACATCTCAACAATCATTCCAATCATGCTCCGTATTATGACAGAAGGACCTGAGCTGAAAGAATGCAATCAAAAGAAAGCAAGTAACAAGTGGTTATCAAGACATAGTAGATAATTATAGTATTTTGGCACTTCTGTATAAAGTTAAAATCATAAATAATATTCAACGTTAAACTGGTAC